GGCAGTCAAACGGTGCAAAGAAATTCGAATGCTACCTAGCAAAGCTGAGAGTGCCGGTACATTGAAGACCGTAACGCCTGTTACGCTAAAGTAATGTTTACAACTGAAGTGAATATGATAAATTTTGCCTAATCAATTTGAATAACTTAATCACAATGATTGTTTTAACAATTAGTTTAAACTGATTCATTCTAGAAATGTTATGGAATGTTTGAAAACAACAAAGTTGCAAAATTCACTGGAATAATTAAATTGTTTGAAATAATTCATTTGAATAATTTGTATAGAAGTATTCAAATTATTCAATAGAATTATTTGCTTTGAGTAATGAAATTGATTCGCTGATGCATAATTTTGTTCTTCGTGAGGCTATAAAAGACAAATGTTTATATCAAAGAACCATTCGTCTTGAGGACATCGGTATTAAAGGCTCCGGTTAAAGTGCTCTAAAAAGTACGTTTGCGTTTCAACAACAATTCGCTGCTTGAATTCATCTGCGTCCACAACTCGTATAATCTGAATCGAATCTGAATCGCTAGCTGGATCGCTTTCGATAATGAAAGCGATATTCAGAACGGTTTACTTGATCTCTGACCCGCCGAGTTGCATTCACGTCTTAGCTCACAGTGAATCCGGAACTGAGATCAGCGAAAATTTGCTCAACCTCGGATTTCATAATGAGATGATGAGCAATGATATGAACACACTATTGTTCAAGTATGTTTATATCACAGAATTGTTCAAGTAAACTGCGGTTCTATCGAAATGTCGATTATGCTTTCAGGATGCTTATGCAGCTGCTTGTGTTCCTTCTGCTCACAAATTCGTTCAATGCGTTCTTAACTACGCATCAAGTCCTTGGTGAGCAAGCACTTTGAACTTCGAATTTTTACAGATGAACAAAAATTGAACGATTTGTTGACATTTGAAGATGATGTAATCGCTGCTATTATGCAAGGATGTGAAAAAACCTTTGGAGCTATGGAATGCGAAAAGTTAAAATCTGAATGCCAGAAGATTACAAAGATGAGATATTCTAAAATTACACCCATCGAAGTAGCATCATGTTTTTTCGAAAGTATGTCCTTCTTTGATTTCAGGTCATTTTCCATAACACTTCTCGATATAATCACTTAACGCAGCAAATCAGGATAGCCACTTCACTTCATCGCTGTTACGGTTGAGCTGAAAGAAAAAGTCTTTTCTGCATTTCCTGTCAGATCCATCCTCGGCAAATATTCAATACGTTTGGAAACCCGTAGCATTCTATCGTTTATGATACATTCAGTGAAAATTTTTAGTTCACCGATTACGTTTGGCAGCTTCACTGCTTATCATTTCCTTTTTTTT